TATGCATTTCTCTCAAGTTTTCCATGGAAATGTATTCTTCTCTGGCAGGTGTAACAGGTTTCAACTACTTTTTCTTTAGGGTGTTGGCGGTGTGAGTGGACCTACGGGTTACTGTGCTGGACTAGTGGGAAAATTGTTCAAGTTGGACCTTTAGGAATGGTGCACTCAGGAATGTGCTGGGTTGTCATCAGTTACTTGTACTAGATGGGCAGGCAGGTCCCAAGCTAGAGTTTCCAGAACAGAACAGAGATCTAAGTGAGTGTCTTAGTTACTTTCCGATCACTGGACACAATAGCTGTTACTCACAACTTAAAGGAGAAGATTAGATGGTTCAATCCATACCTGGCTGATTCCAAGGCAGAAAGGACATGGTGAAAGGGTCATAGCAGCCAGAAAGCAGAAGAGAGAAGGGAGGAACCAGGGAGGAAGATACACCCTTCCAGGTTACATTCTCAGTGACCTACCTCCAACTAGGCTCCACCTCCTAACAGTAAGTCAGCTTGAGTGATCCCATGATCGAATCACATTAGATCTAAACCATAACAGTAAGTATGGTCCTTTCTTCCATATCATTCTTACTATAAGAATAGTAAAGGAAGCTTTTGTAGACTGGCAGCTCATCAACTCAGCCTGGTAGCATCACAGCACAGGCAGCAGGGCTGTCCTTGGGCAATGAGGGTGAGAAAAGCCCCAACTGAGGGCTGGAAGGTGGCTGAGTCTCCATTTGTGTCATTTGTCATGCCTCTGAGGGTGGGTCACTGTCATCTGCGCAGTCAGGTTTCTATTACATGAAGTGTTCATTTCTGGGGGCCATCTATACCCCTGCAGAGTATTAAATCCACAAAGCTATCTATTACAATGGGGTTCTGAGTAATTAACTGAAGGTGGCCCTTTAATTCAACTCAACTAGCTTTGTACTTACCACCCACCCACCATGTGCATTCTCACTGTAAGCCAGAGAACCAGAGCAGTCCCCACCCTCAAGGGTGCAGCAGAGTTCCATTAGCAGATGTTGGGCTCAACTGGCAACTCCTCTCCCCTAAATCACAGTTCCTCCACATAGCCTCTCTCCCCATGATCCATCCACAGCTCCTGGACTGGAGATAGAATTTCTAAGAAGTTCCAGAGGGTCTCAGGCTCATCCTGGCCGCTGGTCCACTTCTTGCCCAAGTCTATTCTGGTAACCAGATGCTATGGCTGCCTTCTTTTGTCTCAGCAGTGCTTGCCTCGAATGTTGCTTGGTGTCTATAGGAAAAGTTCCAATTTTCTTTGTCAGGGCTACATTATCTCCCCATACCACTCTGGCATGAACTCCATAGCCCCATATTACATCCTAGGATCCCAGTGTCAACTTGGCCCATCCCCGACTGTCACACCCCTGCTTTGCCTGTAGACTGAACTCCCAACATTTGTAGCAAGGTCTATACCCACAGAGTATGTGCCTGCTCTCCTGTCCCCAGTTCTAGTGAACAGACCTAATTCTAGAATTTCAGTCTTATCTTACTTCAGTTAATCACAGCTACTTTTTGACTATGTTATAAGGGAGTAAGAAAATTTTAAAAAATGCAAAACAGTGCATAAGTGTGCAGTGGTGAGGCACAGAGACACATAGTAAATACAACTGAATGAATTCAAAATGGGAAGACAATGGGAACTGGACTTGAAGGTGTGTTATGGTAGAAGAGTTCATCAACCACTCATGAAGGCACATTGTCATGATGTAGTAGTAAGGAAACAAAAAGGGGAGGAAGAACAGAAAAAGCTGAGGTACTAAAGCTAAAGAACAAAAAACAAAGTGGCTGGCAGCTGTGCACTAAATTCCAAATAAATGAAAGAAATAATTTCACCACTGGTTGGAGGAATTTTGGACTTATGGACACTTGAAACACAAGATCAAAATCAAATTCATCAGCCTTTCTCTAAGTTTTCTCATTTGTTTATACCATCAGCCATCCAGACCAGAAATCTACTGAAGGCTAAGAACTGGAAGATTGAGCATGAAATAGAACACATTATTGCAAAGCAGGTGGCTAATTTTGCAAAGAGACTAGGCTCTGAGGAATAAAGTTCCAACAGGTTACAGATAATCCTGTATGAATGCAGCTTCTTAAAGTTGCTAAGCAGTTGGCAGTGCTGGCCTTGTCAGGTAGGGCTGGCCAGTGGTAGATTCTGCTAGGTACATGAAGTACGCCCCTCTTGAGTCATAACACTAGCTGATTCTGTTGTGTGCATGAGATGTGGAGGGGGTATCATGGCCTCCAGCAGGCCTGCAGCCTTAATCTCTTTAAATTTCAGGTCATTGCACCTTTATGTCCTTACCCTTCCCTGATGCCTCTGCCACCATAGTGTTTGGTTTGCAGCTCTCATCTGTTTATTAGTCTGTCTTCCTCTCTTGGACTGTGAGAACTGGAGAGTAGTTACTATATCTTATTTCTCCTTGTATGTCCATGAGTTATTATAATCTTGACATGCAGCAGGTATTTAAGAAGTGAAAGTGAAGCCCTATAAGTGTTTCTTCACAAATTATATCATTATCTTCACATCATCTATGTCTGTGAATAAATGGTGTATGTTTTAAACTCACAACTCCCCAAAACCAGCGATCCCAAGCATTTGACTTTAGCTCTTCAATGATCCTGGATGGTAATGGCAGAGAATTTTATAGGACAGGGTTAATAATAAAACTTATTTTCTTCCTCTTTAGCCCTATTTCAGCCTGTCCTGTTTATCAAATAATTGAGCATTCAGTTTTGTAACTCATCAGTTCTTGTATATTCATTTTCTGGGAAAACGTGGAGAACATATTTGCAAATGGAAAATAATTTTCCTATGTTCTTTTCTCCCTTTTTGGCACATGAAGAAACTAACTGTTCTGACAAACTCAGTATCTCTTGCTTTGTGGACTGCCTTGCCCAGTATTTATCTTCAGCAATTTCACTGCAGTTTTTTGCACAAAAATACATTTCTTCACATTTAAGAAGCACAAATTATTGCTCCCACTTTCAAAAGAGATGTGGTGTTTCCAGATTTAGAAAGACATTTCCAGTGGCCAAGCTCTGTCAGACCCTGCCTTGGCTTAACAAGGAATGTTTCTTGAAAAAAGAAAGTAAAAGAAAAAAAAAAGAAAGACAGAAAAAAAAAGTAAAGCCCCCAAATTATTTAAGTATCTTTCAGTTTAGTTTTGAGGCCAGGAAGTCAGTAATGTAAAAATCTAGAGAATAGAGTTTGGGTTGAGGACTTGGTTTCAACTACCAAATGCTGTGCATGCTTCTCACAGGTTGGGTAAGCCTGTTTCCTTATGAGTGTAATGAGAAGGTTGAGCTCTATGGTCTTTAGAGTATGTCCTGGTTCTAAAGTTCTGTGATTCAATGGATTATTCTCTTCTGTTGTCACCTAATTTTGGATGTGTGTACTCTCTCTGCAAGGGAAGCAGACTGTTTTATTGCACTGCAATGGCCACTGACAATGGGAATATATTGTTAGACAATTTTTCACTCCATTGAGGCCATGAAGAATTACAAATGGTTAACACTAAGGCAGGAAATAAAGCCCTTGGATTTGGGAAAGACTTCTTCTCTCTTGGAACCGAACTGACTACTCATGAAAGATGTTTGGTTTGGGGTACATCTAGTAGCTATCATACACAGAATCTCTACTGCCTGGTCACTCTAATTCTATGACATTTCTAGATTTGGAGTACATGAATGTTTCCCTAAAGATTTATAACACTTGATGACAGAAGCACTCAAAAGGTGATGTGGCAATGGGGAACAAAGTGTTCTTATCCTCCTTGTACTCTCAGATACCACACCGTCTTAGTCACTTTCTCATCACTGGGACAAAATACCTGACACCTGCAATTTAAAGGAGGAGAGGTTTATTTTGCCTCATGTTTTTAGTCCACAGTCAGCTGGCTCCAAGGTAAGGCATGGTGGAAGGGCCCACGGGGAGGAAAGCTGCTCATATCATGATGGCGAAGAAGCAGAGAGAAAAGAGAGGAGTTGGGGAGGGAGATAGTTTACTCTTCCAGATCACATGCCCAATGACCTGCCTCTTACTACCAGACCCGACCTCCTAAAAGCAAGTCAGCTATTGCCCTGATGATTCAATCACCTTCCAAAAGCCCTGTCTATGAGTGCACAAGACCTTTGGGGAACATTCTTGATCTAAACCACAACAACTGGCAGTGAAGGTCAGACTCTGTGGTTCTTAGTCCACAAGGCCAGCTAGTATCAGGCCACTGGTTTTGGTGCAAGGTGGGTACACTAACCTCAACTCTTTCTGTCATGGACCTCGGCCACCATAGTATTTCTTTTTTTTCTAAGTTTTTTTTTTGGTACCAGGGATCAAATTTGGGACCTTGTGCTTGCAAGGCAGGCGGCGGAACCACTGAGCTAAATCCCCAGCCCTGTTTGTATGTTTGATGTGTTAAATGATATTGAAGGGTACATAAGAATAGGGCCATTTCTTTATTTGGAGGTTTTGATTTTATTTCATTTCTGAGTAGATGGCAACTAATCTGGCAACTGATCTAACTTCTTTTTTTTTTTCTTTTCATTCTTCCTTTCCACACTCAACTTTCTCCTCTTTATAATCTTATTATTGCAATTTTAAAAAACAATGGTCAAGGGAAAGAAAGCTGGGTTTGAAAGTGGCTAGTCAATTTCTATATTGAACCTGGGAAACTTCCTTTGTATGTCCCCCTAGAAACACACCTTGAGCCCTCAGATGGTGAGCAGGTAAAAACTCCAAGACACACCAAATTTTGGTCTAATAGAGTATTCAGAGGGCTGAGTCATTTGAAGTCTTAGGGTTGCATGAGCAACTTTACAAACAGCTTTCCAAGTGCAGACTTTTTTTCTTCTGACTTACCTACTACTGTATAATAAACTATTATAAAATTAGTGACTTGAAATGACAGTCATTATATTTAACTATTTTGGGGGTCAGGCATTCAGCATATCTCAGTCAGCTGATTATTCTGTTCCACATGGTATTACCTGGGACTGTTCAGTGGTATTCAGTTGCTGCTGGTCTGGTCTGGAGAATCCAAAATGTTTTTCTTCACATTTCTGGCACTTTAATGGGAATGTCTCCAGTTGGAAGGCCAGCTTGGCTGGTTCCTCTTTCTGTCCATTAGTTTCATGGCTTCAGTATGTGATCTGTCCAAAGAAGCAACAAAGTGTCATCCCCTCCTCTTCCCCAAGCAATCTACAACTGAGCTACATCTCCAGACTAGTGAGACAGGATCTCACTAAATTGCCCAGCTAGGCTCAAACCAAGATACAGTACTCCTGCCTCTGCCTCTCCCATAGCTGGGATTATAGTCATCCATCACCATCTCCAGTTTGCTTGTTCTTTTAAAGGCTAGCCACAGAACTAGCATAGCTTTCCCCAGACTGTACTCTACTAGGATAGTTCAAAATCAAGGGGAGCGGAAATGGAGCCCACTTCAGTATGGGGTAAGTATTAAAGAATTTGCAGCCATCTTTAACCAATTATAGAGGCACACAGGTACCCACAGCTGGGACTGCCCTCTACTGGAAATCAAGTGAGTGAGGGACTATCATTCTATATGCCAGTAGTGGCAAACCTTCAGCACACATGCCACAATGGGCTGTTTATATCATTGAAAAATCTAAAAGATTTGCCATCACTGCACATGGCAAGGATACCCAGTGCAGAAACATTTGAGTCCACAGATTGAAAACTGACTACCCTGATGGGATGAAGCAGTCTGTATGCCATTAGATACTACACTAACATCTGCAGAAGGTTCTGCTTCTACTAGCTAAAGTTAACAAGAATTTTTAGTGTAATCCCTGGTATTAGACTCCTGGATGATTTTCATTTTGATCCTTGAACAATGTTTCCTCCTTTTGGCAGAGGCAGACAGACGACTGGGTCCTGAGCCTGAAGCATTCTTCAATGTGACCTTGACTCTTGCATTTTATACTGCTAAATTCAACCAAGGTTTTGATAAAAATTGACATAAGTACTCCCAACTACAGCATGGCAGATATACTATACATTATCTCTAATCCTGCCAGTAACTCTGTTAGTTCCATATGCTAGCCTCATTTCACAAATGAGGGAACAGTAGCTGAGAAAGGTTAAGGAGCCAGTTTGAGGTCACACAGAAAGAGGAACACATGATTTTGAGCTAAGACCTACTTGGCTCCAAAACTTCTTTCGACTACTCCATGTGATCTTTGTAAAATAAGAGAACCTTGAAAAACATCCTTAGTGTACTTCCTCAGAAAGCACCCAATCCAATAAGGATGGAATGAACAGCCAGCAAGACCCACAGCTCAGTATTGTACTCCCCATATCCCAGTCAAATTAACATAAAATTAATCAACAAAACCTGCCATGTGCAAAACATCATCCACAAAACTCCAGAGCAGTGGTGGTGAACTGATGGCATGCGTGCCACAGTGGGCACGCAGAACCCTCTCTTAGCACGGGAGTCAAAAGTATATATATATTTTTTCTAAACTAAAACCTCAAAATGTAGGTTTAATTGCAGTTTGGGCACTGATTTTCTAAGAGGTTCGCCATCACTGTTCTAAGGTCTTGTTTCTCCAGGTGCAATGTCTCTTGCAGTTCTAACTGCTACAATTGTAGACAAATACAACTTATTTCATTTTAACCTTCCCTTGAGAACTAGGGACAGAAATATTTCCTCAGAACAACAAAAAGGTACCTGGAATGTCATACGAAGAGTGGGAAGTTCATTTTCCCTCTCCTGTCTGTGCGCAGCAATCTTCCGGGTTCTGTACGGTGGTGGAAGCAGCAGCCCATTGAGCCAGAGACCAACACTTCTGGGCATATGGAACCCAAGAGCGGAAAGCTTGCTGCGTTTCTCGGAAACTTCAGCTAAGGAAGGGCAGCCTCTGGAAAGTGAAGAAATGGCACACTCACGGGATGAGGCGGGAAATGCCATAGAGCCGGGGAGTCCAGCACCTGCCTAGGCCACACTGTGTACCGGAAGCAGTTTGCGTCCCCGAATAAACTTAGATACAAGTCCAGTAAAAACCAGAGGTTAGCTGACTTCTGAAGTACATGTACCCAAGTTTCCCTAGTCCTAGAGCTATGCCCTTAGCCTCTTGGGCCTTCTCACGTCTCTCATCTCAGTTTCTTTCTTTCTCTCTTTCTCTCTTCGTACCAGGGATCGAAAACCGGTCCTTGCGCTTGGGTAGCAGGTGGCGAAACCACTGAGCTAAATCCCTGGGCCTCTCGCCTCACTTTCTGTTCCTGTCTTTCTCCAAGAGAAGTCCTTCTGGTGGTTTTGTCTCAGTCCTTCCGGTTCTGCTGAGTCGGCAGGCACGCGTCCCGCTGAGGGTTTCTCTGCACATGCGCCCTAGTACAGCTACCCCTTGAGGAAGGCCTTAGGTATTTTCCTCAAGGGCTGCCACGGTTGGTAGTGTTTACTCCACTGATCACATTCACTCTGTGGGTGTTTATTTACTGTTTACCTAGTCATGGTAAATCAATCAATCACATATTTCTCCATTTTTATTTCTCAAAAGATGACCCCGTTCCATTGTAAGTACATATTCTTGACCATCCTTATAGTGTTCTTAGTGACAGAATTGCTTCTCAGTTCTTATTCTTTCTCTTCATAATAAATGTGAACAAAGCTTTTAGTATATTGCATTATTATTTGATATTATATCTCTTGAACTTTATCCCACCTGCTAGTACTGGGGATTGAAGCCAGGGCCTCAGTAATGCTAGGCAAATGCTCGACCATTGTGCCCCATCTCTCCCACCTTGATATTATATCTCAAACAGCTATTTTTATATTTGTAATAAACAAGAATTAATGGATGATTTTGAAAGAAATTCTTACTAGAATTGACTCAGAGATTTTTTTTTTTTTTTTTTTGGTACCGGTGATCGAACTCCGGTCCTTGCGCTTGCGCAGCAAGCGGCGAAACCACTGAGCTAAATCCCCAGCCCTAGAGATTGTTAAAAACCCCAGCCGTGGAAGAAATTGACAGTGCCGCCATGAATTACATAGGCTCAGATCATTCAAAAAATTACTGATTTTAAACCCTCAAGGAAGAAATTATTCTGTTGCTGTTTAATCCAGGGCATAAAGGAAAAATCCTTACTTTATGAGGCCAGCATATCGTTGGCACCAAAACATAGAAATCGTGCATATGTACCACACATCCCATGAAACTGTTCACCCACCCACCCCCACATCACACAAATACAGACACACCACACATATATACCACACACTATTCACACACACACATACTCCACATACCTCACTCTACACAATTACAAACATGCCTCATACACATACACCACCCATTTATCACACACACATATACTCAGACTATATCCATACCACATACATGTACACACACCACTGCACAAATACAAACATATCTATACCACACCCATACCTATACATACAGTGTACACCTCACCCATACCTGTACACCAGAGACACCTCCCAGAATATTCTAGCCTTTAAATATAACATAAAAGTCCTAATAAAATTTTTAATAAATAGAATCCAATAGTCTGTGAAAAAATACACTATGACAAGGAGAAACTCATTTCAAGGTGATTCAATTTTAGAACAAGCTATTAGTATAATTGACCATCTGAATAGTCAAAGGAAAATAAAGTTTTATTACCTTCCAAGATATAGAAAAGAAGTGTAATAAATTTGAACATCCATTCATAGTAAATAGCAAAAGCTAACATTTATTTTGTCTTTATTATGTACTGGGCACTGTCTAACAAGCTTTGTGTGCATTTTCTCATTTAGTCCTCATCATCACCCAACAAGGGAGGTACTATTGTCTTTGTTTAATGGATGAAGACACTAAACCTGCAAGGGTAAGAGTCTTGCCACAAGTGGGTCACAAATCTAAGAAGTGGATCACATATCTAAGAAGTGGATCACATATAGGTATTTAGTGACATGTTTCTTATGACTGTGCCAAAACAGGAATGTATAAATACTCCTGTAATAGAAATATTTATTCCAAGTCATCATGACTAACAGGAAAACATCATGACTAACAGCAAAACAATGAAAATGTTTCCACTGAAATCAGGAATAAAACAAGAATGTCCACTATTGCTGCTATTAGCTAACATTTTTTATGAAGAATCTAGCTAATGCAATTAGATAAGACAACCAGTAAAAGGTATAAATATTTTAAGAAAGAAGGCAAAATTATATTACTGCATGTGATATAACAATACACCTGAAACTTAAACAACTGCAAAGCTGTTAGAAACAATACAGAATTCAGGGAGGTATCCAGTCACATATTTAATATTTTTAAAAACATCAACAACTGGGCCGGGATTTAGCTCAATGGCACCTCGCCTACCTGGCAAGCGCTAAGTCCTGAGTTTGATCCCCGGGACCCAAAAATAAATAAATAAATAAATAAATAAATAAATAAATAAATGACAACTTTCATGCATACAAAATTGCAATTACTGGAAGAAAATATCTTGTTCACAGTTGTAATTAATAAATGAAATAGTTAATAACTTGTACTATATGAAGGAAAAGATAATATTGAGAGACATAAAAGATTCAAATTCATGAAAAGTTCCATTTTTTAGTAAAATATAAAGTGACAATTTTGTCTTCATTATAGATTTAATGTTATTCCATCAAAATACTAACATAACTCTTTAAAGAACCTGACAAAATTTAGACATCACCTAGAGGAATAAACTTGTGAAAATAGGAAAACAATGAAAAGTAAAGGAGGAAAACAAACTCCAATAGATATTAGGGTAGGTTAGGAAGTTATAGTAACTGTTCCACTATGACTCAAGATCAGAAGAGTCTGACAGGCCAATGCAACAGAAGAGGTGGCCCAGAGATGAACATCCAAATGGGTAGCAACTTACACATGATGCAAAATGCAGTGTAGGTATCATTTCCAATGTTTGGGAAAAAGAATTCAAAAGATGATTTGTGACAACTAATAGCTATTGGGAAAAATAAGAATACTGAACCATCATCTTCCTCCTTACACTAAAATACATATCAAAAGAATAAAAAATAAATGTATAAATGAAGTCATAGATCCATTAGAGGAAAATGTGGGTGTATATTTTTATAATCTTGTGTTGGGTAAGGCCTAAGAATGAAAATTCCTAGGGTCTAAAAAGAGGTAACTACATAAAATACTAAATTTCTGTGTAGTAAAAAAAAATAAGTAAAAGATAAATTGGAAGAAAAGTACATATATCATAAGCAAAGAGCTTGACAAAATCTACCTAGAAATTGATAAGAAAAAGATCAACAGTGCAATAGAAAAATGGGCAAAAGGCACTAGAGTATATCACAGAGGAAATCAGTAAAAGAGAAAGTCTGCTCTATTTCACTAATAGTTAAGCAAAAATGAAATAATAATGAGTTATGCATTTTTGCCTATCAGATTAGGAAATAAAAAATTGATAAGGGCTGGGGATTTAGCCTGCCTCACAGTGCAAGGTCCTGAGTTTGATCCCCAGTACCAAAAAAAAAAAAAAATTGATAATATCCAGTGTAAATGAGAAAGTTAGACTCTGGTGCTCTTATAAATTGTTAATGATAATATAAATTGGCATAATGTTTCTGAAATTTTTTAAAGCTTTTACCAGTTGAAGATTTTTGAGTTAAATTGTGTCCCCCCCACTCTGTTCCCACACACACACACACACACACAAATATATATATATATATGTTGAAATGCTAACTCCCAGTATGTCTGAATGTAACCTTATTTGGAAATAAGGCTTTTGCAAATGTAATTAGTTAAAATGAGGTCATATTGGAATGGGGTAGGCCTCTAATCCAATGTAACTGCTGTCCTTATCAGATTGTAAAGGCAGAGACACAGAGGGAGAGCACTATGTGATGTTGAAAGCAGAGATTGGAGTTATGCAGTTTTGAGGTAGGTGTTATAGTCAGGGTTTTGGCAAGGGATTACATTTAATACAGGACACACAATTTATAGGATTATTTTATGATATTTACCCAAAAAGTCAAATACAGAGGAGTGCGAGAGATTAGCCACACACTGGAGGTCCAGAGAATCGAGCCAAGGGCCTGGATCTCACAGCAATGTCCCACACAAGTCCAGCTGAAGGCCTAGAGTGCAAGGCAATGTCCTCCACAAGTCCAGCTAGTAACCTAGAGCCCAAGGCAATGTCTCATGCTTGTCCATATTGGGAATCTGCACCCAGAAGGCCCAAAGGCCAGTGGTGGAAGCCAGAAAACCTACACTGGTGGAATGAAGGATTTATGCCACTAGGCTGAGGGATATACATTGGATCCAGGAAGTGATGCTCCTGGTGAAGATCAGTGCTCCCCTGACAAGAGCACTAGCCATTTCCAGTGATAGCGAGGACCTGAGCTCCTCTTCTGATAACAGCCAAGTTTGCATCAGGAAAACCAGCCACAGCAAGCTTCTAGAAAGTCAGTTGCCTCCATCTTCTCCTCTAGTTCTCTTTTTATGCTATTGGCAACAATCCTCAGGTGGATCTTCCATGCCCAAACCAGGCTGATTCACTTCAGCTGGGTGTTACAAGTTGACCATTAGTTAATCCACCACAGTAGGGAATGTCAAAAATTGCCAGGAAACTATCAAAACTAGGAAAAGGTAAGAAAGGGTATCCCTAAAGTTTTCAGAGGCAGCTTGGTCCTGCAGATACCTTAATTTTGGACTTCTAGCCTTCAGAAGTGTCAGAGAATTTTCATTAAGCCATCCAGTTTGTAATAATTTATTATAGAAGCTCTAGGAAACTAATACAATACAAAGATCAAATTCTACCTCTAAGAATTTGTTCCACCCAAATACTCATTTAATTATACATATTCAAAGGCAGTCATTTCATTCTTTTACTTTAATTTTGACAAACTGGATATTATACAAATATCCAGAGAACTGTTTAAATAAACTGTAATACTTTTTAATGGATATACTAAGGTGTAGTTAAAAGCAGTGAAAATGGTCTGAAGTTTATGAGAAATTTAATATAAACTAGTAAGTTGAAAGACCAAGTTGTAAGGCACAAATAGATATCAAATCTATGTCTTTAAAAGTCATAATAACATGCTAGTATGTAGATAGAGAAAAAATTGATATACTTTTCACAAGTAGTTATTTAGGGTTAGGGAGGGGAGAATGTGAAGAGCTTTTGTTTTCCACATCATACATACTTATAAAATTTGACAATTTTCAAAACTGGCACATATATATACTTTTATCATTAGAAAAAGTACATTGTTTTATTATAAATTCTTCACCTTCCTCTCCTGAGTTTTTGTTGTTTTTGTGGTACTGGTGATTGAACCCAGGGCCCTGCACATGCTAGTCAAGTGCTCTACCACTGAGCTCCACCCCTGGCCCTCCTAAGTTTTTAAATCATCCTCACTGGAACAGCAGTGATTATCTCTTCCCTTTCCAGAATTTAGCTTTCTAACAACCTCCCCATACAGCAAGTTGGCAAGAGTAAGAAAACTGGAGAGAACACATAATATCCCTATTTGCTGGCCCTATGTCCACCCTCAGAGTCTTTATCTTTACTTTACACTCCATATGGACACCCTTGTTTCTCTAATTTCCATGAATGTAGCAGTTTAGAAGAGAGAAATGGAATTGCTGGTGGCAGGTACACTGACAACAAAGGGACATTTTCAGAAAAAATTATTTTAAAACCACTGCAAGTATTACATATATAAAAATCTGGGTCATTATATATAAAAATAAATTATCTTCTCAGCAACCTCTGAGGTCATTTTTCTGTTACAAGTCAATGTCATAAACTATCATTTTTACGACTCAGTGTAGAATTTTAAAAATTATGTCCATTGTTTAAAAACCAAGGGAAGACTATGATATATTTGATTGAGATTTCCATTTGAAATGGTTAAAAGTAAATGTTTAGGGCTTAAAGAAAGAAATGCTCAGTTATCTGGGAAATTTCCACTGCCCAGAAAGATTAATCATCCAAGGGTTCCGGATAATCAAGATTTTTCTCTCTTCTTTCCTTCCTGGAGCATTTAATCCAGGCCACCCACAGCCTACAGTTTTAGAAGTCCCCAGTTGAGCAATTTTCTCACTAGCAAAATAAACAGGGAGGAGACCAGCCCCAGGAGTGTGGGGTGCCAGGTGTGGCTTCGCTTGTAGCCCTGCCCTTGAGGTCCAGGGAGCTGTGAAGAGGCAGAGAGGAGAGGCCCCCACTGTGAACTCTCCACCTCTCACACAGATTGCCCACCCCTAGCTAAGCCCAGAAATGGCTGGTCAGGTTGTAAAGCAAATAATGCTTATTAAGCCTAATTACTATGTAGCACAAAATGATTAAACAAATCATGAAGAGTCAGATCAGTTTTGCCATAAGTGCTTCTTAACTTCAGGAATGGCTTGGCAGTTCAAATATGCTCAGCTTTCAGAATTCATTGTTTCTGGAAAGCAGGCTGCTTTAACCACTTCCCATTAGGGAAAAAAAAGGAGGGAGAAAGTGAGAGAGGGCAAGGCGGAAAGAGGGAGAGGGAGTCAGGGAGACTTGATTGGGAGGATAGGGAAAAGAAGAACACTCCATAAGAATGTATCTTTATCAGAATTTATTTTTACAAAGTATGGCCACAGCAGCTTAGTTGAAATCCCTGTAATCAGGCCAAAATGCCTGTGCTACACTCTATTCTGTCCTTGTTCTAGAACTGAAGCTAAGATTTAAGTCAGGCTGAAAGTTACTGTGCAGTACACTTTTTCTTGCTCTCTCTCTCTCTCTCTCTCTCTCTCTCTCCTCTTTTAAAAAAGCTGGTAACCAACATTAAAGACATTGTGGTTGGTATCCTTATAACTAAAATATAGCTTCATTTCTGCTCATGGAAATATGTAGTCAATTAGCAATAATGTGGTCCAGATTCCCTTTGATATTCTAAAATAAAAACATTCCAAGTTATTTACTTGAGAAGAGTCATTTCTAAGCACGCCCAGTAGCTGCTGTTTTTAATAATGCTGCTTTTAATGGGTGTGGGGCATTGAGGGGGGCGCTTAAAGTTTTGAACTATTATCACTGGATTTTTGGAGTAATAATCACAAGAGTTTACATTTAGATACAATTATTGAGGTTCATCATGCATATTTAACAATTTTTGTACTACTTTCTCTTTTCAGACAAAGTGAAAGGGGAGTAAAAAGCAACCAGAGAAAAGAAGCAGATGGGGAAACCGCTTGTGAGAATGCCTTGTTCTGCAAAACCTTATCACAGGGGCAGCAAGGGGAGCTGCCTTCTATGTGACCTTACCTGAGTAGTTCCCAAATCCTTGTTCTTGGACATGGGAGGGCTGGATGCCCAAAAATCTCCTGAGGAACATGAATTACAAAACCCAAGAAAAACAGAACCCCTGGCTTCACTCTGATTTGGAGGGATAAAGTGGGGTGTAGCAGGGTTAGCAAGTCTTAGTCCAATGGACCAGTGTCTTAGTCTATTTTGGGCTGCTATCATAGAATACTCGACCCTGGCTAATTTATGCAGAACAGAGATTCGTTTCTTACAGTTCTGCAGACTGGGAAGTTCAAGGGTGAGGAGCCTGCATCTTCTAAGGAACTTCTCGCTACATCTTTGGATGGTAGAAGCAGAAGACAAGACTGCATGTGCATGTATGCACATAGATAGAGATGGGGGACAAGGGGAGGGTGGGGCCAAACCCATCCTTTTATCAGGAACTACTCCTGAGATAACTAATCCAGTCTCACAATAACAACATGAAGGCAGACCCCTCATGACCTAATCACCTCTTAAAGCACTACCTTTTATTACATGAACACATGGGGATTAAGTGTCTAACATGGGAACTTTGGAGACAGCCAAATGATAGCACATAGTAGCCGTTGATTTGGAAAGCATGACTTCTCATTTATGGTTGGATCATTTGGGCCTCTGGCAATTCTCTGCTGTGTGACCTCAATCTAATCAGTCAACTCCTCTGAGCCACATATTGACCATTTATAAAGTGCTGATGATAACAGTAAACCCTACCTCAGAAGTTATTTTGAAAATCAAAAGAGATTAGATATGTAGAAGCACTTACTAACCCATCAAGTGTTCTATAATTTTAGCTAAGCTTAGATATTTAAAACCTAGTAATATTTGTGCTAAGTGGCAAGGAAAATAAAATACAACCAAAATCTAGCTTGGGGAGAGTTTCAGTCTAGCTAGAAAAACAAGCTATAAATGAAATGGCATGAAACCTACCTGAAACAGCATATTAGGCCACTAAAAAGCAATTGTATGTATCATGGGTTCTGCATTAAAATAGGCTATGTGGGCTTTTTGAGAAGTATAGTATAAAACATGGATATTATTCTGAAAGTGATGCCAGTTTTGATGGAGATATTTCTTTAAAATAGCAATATATATATTTCTATATTTATTATCTATATTTATTTATTATAAAGTACCTGGTAAATTTTATGGTATAGTATAAGTTTACTGGAAAGAGCTCCAAAGAGCAGTAGGAATTGCTATAGTTGAGGAAAAGTGGGAGCTTGAGTTGAGCCTAGGAGTTATAACAACAAAGGGAAGAGAAACTCATTGGTCATGAAACCAGCAGAGGTCAGCCACAGATATGGAAATGGACCTGGGATATGGAGGACTTGACTGGCTAGGAGACTTGTAAGGAAACTTGACTGGCTAGAATGATGGACAGATTACAGAGGGCCTTAAAAGCTCAGCTGAGATTATACTTGATCTATGCATATTTTGTATGGCCAGAGTTCCAGAAAGGGAGCTATTTATATACCTACCTTTGATACTCTAGAATTGTGCTGTCTAATATGATAACATCCATTGTAGCTATGAAGCAGTTAAAATGTGGCTGAGATCTAAAATGTGCCTTAAAATAAATTGAGGTGAGTTGTCCATATATGACGCATGCCAGACTTCAAAGGTTTAGTACAGTGCAAAGCAAAAACAAAAACAACTCCTTAAGATATTTTTACATTGATCATTTGTAGAAATAGTATTTTTAATATATTGGATTAAATTTTAAAATATTACTAAAATTACTGTCATTGATTTCTTTTCCCCTTTTACAATGTGGCTACTAAAAATATTTTAAAGTGAAATTAGGGATTGCATTACATTTCTATTGGACAGAATTTTTCAGGATAGCTTTAGAGAATCTTATACAAGGAGCTGGCACAGGCACCCTAGGAGAAACAGGAAAATGTCCAGGAGGCCAGAATTGATAGGACTGCATTCTCTCCACCACTCAGGGCTCATACAGACACAGACACACAGACACACACACACAGACACACACACACACACACACACACACACACACTGAGGAGGGACTGGGATATACACTGAAGTCAAGGCAGTGGAACTTGGCTATGGGACAATAAATAAATTGATATTAAAGAATACTTTTGTATAAAAAATACTTTTGCATGCAATACTGGGGGATATCTTTCAAAGAAAAGAGCCATCAAGAAATCGAGAGAACAAGGAACAGACAAGAATTTTAGCACAACTCAAGTTTAAAGAAGAATCCTAAAAGGCATGAGCTGGAAATTATCACTGGTGGCTCCATGGAACACATCCTCTACAGAGAGGACAAAAGAAGCAGAATAGCCTATTCATGAAAAGGGAGTGGTGAGTAGAGGGGGCTCCAGCTACCAGGCAGCAAAGCAGAGACTTGCAGCTCTGACAAAAGAACAGCGCTGTTCTCCAAAGAGACCAAAATGCCCACAAGAGACACAGCAAGCAGGTTTCCTCTAATTCCTTTGTTTGAACCCAGAGTAAAAAGTGATTTCCATTGTGACCCACACAATTTGATACATACATATGTATATTTCCTGATGTTGGGGTGGGAAGTTTGTTACTTATGTGTTCTAAAGAGAATTAATTATGTTAATGAAGAGGCTTTTGTTTTTCTGAGCCATTTGATGGTTATTTTTATGCAAATTTGGAAGTAGAATCTCTGCCCTACTCCCTCCTCACATTTCCTTTAATCTCCTTACTCCCAACTTCATTCAGGCTCTGGATTTCAATTAGCACTAAAGTTTTAGAGCAAGAAACTATTGTTTAACTGAGAGAGATTTGGAGGGAGGGGTAGGCAGACAATAGGGAGGGCAGAGGTTGGGGACACAGGAGAAGGCTCCTCATTTTGTGATATTATCCTCTTGTAGCTCCACCAAAGATAAAATGAATTCCGCTAAACTAACCAGCATTTATTGCCAGGTGTGATGGAGCATGCCTGTAATCCCAGCACTCAGGAGACTGAGGCAGGAGGATCACCACAAGTTTGAGTCCATCCTGGGCTACGCCAGCATTTCACAAGAGTGAATTTCTTGAAAAAATACAGCAAAGGGACTGCATGTTGCCTCTGGAGAGATCTAGGGGAAAACATGCAGCAGATTCAAAGGCCCGGCTAGACCTCAAAATGCAAGTCAGTGTTCTCTCTGATATTAGGGAGTTAGAGAAAGGAAAAAAGAGAAAAAATAAAGAATATTGTTGGAGTTTAGAGATACAAAAATTATGTCCGGGGATGGCATATGAGCATTCTGGTCTCTGTACTTCTATTGGCCCTGCCCTGTCCTGGTCATCCTGGGTGGCAGCAGGTACCAGCTCTGTGCGCTGTGCCTGTCTCCCTGGGAAAAAGGTGGAAGTTTCCCAGAGCTCTTCATAGCATACAAAAGCATACAAAAGTTCTTTGGTTTGGTAGAGCCTGAAGGACTGAGAAGTGAAAAATGCCCACTGAGACTCCAGATGTTGTCAGTGTCAGAGCTTCTTCGGATCCAGGAGCTGGAGAGAGGAGACTGGAATGACCAGAGGAGAGAGTTGGGGAAAATGGAAGGGCTGGGATCATGACACTTGCTTTCCTGTTCTCCTACTCATCTGTTAGTATTGGAATGAGAAGGCTTCTGGAATTCAGCTGAGCATGGAGAATTCTTTCCTGTTTCTTTTTGGGCTCTATGTGTTAACTGGGGATTCCCACAGAGAACTCCTCAGACTCTCAACCAGCTCCATAGCTGGCAGTGTGTGTTTCTGCCTGGCTTTGGCGAGTAAGTGGGCAGGAAGAGGGACCTCAGAAGGGGAGGGCTCCTCAGCAGAGGAATGAGGTGTCCTAAATGCTGCTCTGTCTGAGGTGACCAGCAAAGCTGCATTTGTTCCAGCAAGTTTCACCTTGGCAACAAGTGGAGTCCTAACAGAGTTGTAGTTTTTAGGTGTGTGTTGAGACACACTCAGAGATATATATGTAAATATAAATTCTGTATGTGCATGTGTGGATATACAGATAAATTTGTGTGTACTTTTTCTCCACATGATTGGCCCTGTTAATTTTCTTTTCTTTTTTTTTTTTTGGCACCGGAGATTGAACTGAGGACCTTGCACTTGTAAGGCAGGTGCAGTGCCACTGAGCTAAATCCCCAGCCTGGCCCTATTACTTTTCACACTGAATAAACAACCATCAGTCTGTCCCAATAGAATTTTCTCAGTTTATTTCTTGAGGAATGATATTTTAACTATGCTGCAGGTCCTTTAGTTATACATTGGGTAACACCCAAAATATACAGAATAACATATTTCACAATTTGGATCTATAATCAGTGTGGTGGGGGGGAAGGTATTTGCTGGCCAGCTGCATTTTCCCAGCATCAGAATTTCCCTCGGGTCATTATAAACCACAGGCCTGGTCCTCAGCTCATCAGGTCAACCAGATATAGATCAGTATCAATTGCCAATAGTATAATTTAGGCTATTCCCAGAAGGAAGTTAAGTGAGAAGTAACATCCATTCCAGGAAATTCTTTGACAAGCAAAGAAGGTCAGGAAAAAAGGAGATGATTTACCCCAAGAAATACTAATATTTTGCTATAACAACCATCTCCATATTGCAGGACATCAGCCAAGTGACCAGGAACATTCACATTGGTGTATTTTTGACCCTGGCCAATATGGGAAACAAATGAAAATGCTCAATTTGGAGTTTATCCTCTCCTTAGATTGTAAGCCCCTCCTACCCTAATTCTAGGCAAAGTTAATCTGCCCTTGAGGGAAGAGGGCAAACAAAGGCCACTCGCCCCTAGAAAAGGCGGAAGACTTCGTGAGGCCTAGTATCCTGCACTGATGCAAACTGCATATCTACTTTCACTAGCAGTGAAACTGTCAAGGCAGTGAAACTCTTAAGACAGGAAACTCCTACCCAGGAATCCACAGTTACAAGGCAGAAATTGACTTTCATGGGGTAAGAGGGTAAGGAACACCAAGAAAGTTCTACCTCCAAGGCCTAAGACTGAGGCTGGACTAGGATAACCAAAAACCCTTCCTTGCGTCCATCAAGAGCCTTGCACTGAGTAACAAGCCATAGCATTTCCCACTGGGGTAGAGGCACAAATATGAGAGAGGCAGGGAGCAGGAAACACTGAGAAAAACCTCTAGTGCTCCAGGACCCACACTAGAGAGCAGCTAACCACAGGAGTAATTTAAAT